TTTTTTTTTAGTCCAAGTAAGATTCTTGTTAAAAAAATCTGATAAAATTTTTCCTCAAAGCGTTTCTGATATAAAACTATCCCTAAGATCTCTAGGATGAAACTAAACTGGGGCAAAAGTATTTAACAAAATTTTCACTAAAATTGTATTATTTTATTTCATTTATTATTATTATTTATATTATTTTATTCCAATTATTTAATATGTCAAATTGGATACTGGTTATACCTCGGGCTGGGCAATTAATTGCATTTGTAATATAATCGCTATTTAAGAAAACACAATTTACAAATTTCAGAGGCAATCAATTTTGGTCATATTATATTTTAAAAGAGCTAGTAGGTAAATGTATCCCTCATGCTGATTAAGATTCTCAGTCATCCAGGTCATAGTCATTCCGTAAAAGTAAAAAAAAACAAGGCAAAACAAGGCTTTGTTTTTGGTCCACTCTATAAAGCCTCGAACTCAAAGCTATATCTATATCTATTTTGAATTGAAAATGCTTCCTGGATGAGAAGCAAAACATCTTCAAATCTTGGAAACCAAGTCCAGTGGATATTTTTTTTTTTACTTTTACAGAAAAAGTATCCCTCATGCCTTTTAGCTGGCAGTAATATTCTTAAAGCGGGTTTGCAACCACACAGACGGGAAGAGAGTTGCAGCTACCATGCAAATTCATGCATGCCAGTAGAATTTATCACTTCTTGACAAAAAGACTTCCAGGACTCTGGAAAAGCAAGCTTTCCAGGTCATAAAAAAATCATTTTTGTTAATTGAAAGGAAAATCATAATAAAATCTCAGTTGCAATATTGGCTTAAAATAATCGCAATTTTCATTTTTGACAAATTCGTTCAGCCCTAGTTGAATATCACATTTGAACTGAATTTATCTGTAAGTAAACTTTATTTTTAAAGTCGTTTTCACAGACAGAGTCAAAAAACTCTTCAGAGATAAAAACATATTAAAAGAACATTTAAAAAGATAAGAACAAGCTAAAGCATAAAACAAAGAAACATATCTCTGGAAATCATGTGTGTGATTGTAAAGATGACAATTTACCCATTTAATCTCTCAATAATGGCGTGCCATCACTGTTCCCTGTTCATATTGATGGTAGCTGGATGCCCATTTCATTTTTTTTATTAAATATTTAAGTCTTCATAGCTTTCTTTGAAGAATTTAAAAGATCAAAAGAACTTAGCATGTATTTTATGTGTAATAATCTTGATGCATCCCAGATGCACAAAGGAACTATATCACAGATCCTTCCTCCCAGCAGCTGTTTGATGCTTGTTAAACATATTTCAGTTTTCTTTAATTAAGCATATTCTAATGATGGGGTGTTACTTAGGTACAGCAGCTGACTCGCTATGCTCTGATACTCAGAGTCTTATCGCTGTCCCCTCATGTGAAGTGGAAAAACAAATAATGGGCCAACGCCTTTTGGACCTTGGGAGAATAATATGTTAACAGCAGAAGCAGTAGAGAAAATAAAAGATATAAACATGATAAACAAACCTGCTCCATGGCCTCGGCCAAGTGTTTATTGAGCTTCTGCTCCCTGTTCCGAAGCTTCTCAATGTCCCACTGAAGATCCTCCACTGTTGTCTCCATCTCAGAGACTTTAGTTTCTGCACTCGTCACTTTGTCCACCCACTCATTGTACTGTAATGTGAGACATGAGGTGATTATACGTCTATCAAAGTACTAAATATCAGTATGTTCCTTAAATAATTTGTTGACACTAATGTTAGTTTAGGGACCAATGCTCCAGAGTAACACTAATATCAACCAACAGATATGAGGAAGCTGTACCTCCATGGACATCTTGTGGTGTCGCCCCTGCAGAAGGGTGGCCAGATCTCTCAGTCTAATGTTCTGCTCCAACAGGCTGGGGTTCAGACTAGCCTCAGATTGGCCACCATCCTCCCCTGCTATCAAAAAACAATGTGGGACTCTCAGATATATCTTGAAATCAATTGCTTTATTTAGGATCAAATATGTAAAGAATACCATGTAACTAGGGCAAAGCTTGTAGCAACTATTGATTTAAGGAGAACAAATGTGTTGAATTAAAGAGTAACCCCCCAGATGCTGATTTCTATATAAACACATTGTGTTGATGGTTACCTGCAGCCTGGATGGCCTTGCACATGTCATCAATGCGACTGTGTAGCCTGTCAAAAACACGGACCAAGTGACCTATGGCCTCCTTGCTGAACAGCATGCGATCCTGGAGGTGTAAGGACAGCTCCTCCTCGCCGCTCTGCTCCAGCGTGGTCAAAAATCCTTTTGCATTCTCACTTAGAGGAGGAGGTGGTGATGGATCTGCAAACAATGCACACTTTATTACTGCATGCAAAGCAAAATACACAGGGGGTAATATTGTTTGAATGTTGTATGTAGCTTGTATGCACTTAGGCATACAAGCTGATTATTCATTTTGTTTTATCAATAAGAATAATAATAAAATGGATTATGCAACACTTTTTATGCAGCTAGAGTAAATAGTCTTTCAAAAAACAATTTTTTTAAATACTCATTATATCTTTAATTTTTAATTTACCCTAATTGTATATTAACCATATTTTCATGTATGCAGTTTTTATTTTAAATAGTTTTCATCCTGCTGCTATTTTTGGCAAGGTCTCTCTTAAAAATGAGATTTTTAATCTTAAAGATATACCTGGATAAATAAGAGTCACATACATCCAGTCATTGTACTTTTACAACACATTCTAAAGTAGATTTAGTTTTGAGATTGTTTTAAACAAATCAAACGATTACATGTTTTTCTCTTTAAAAAGAAACAAACATAACATTAATTATTATTATTATATGACAATCAGCTTGGGTAACTGGCCTGCAAGCGGTTATTTGGAAGACATGCTGTGGCTGCAATGTTGCTTTTGGCAGCCTTTCAAGTTTTAGTCTTTCAGCCTTTTGGAAGAAAATGCTTATTACTTATTAGTTTAAGTCACGATTAAGTTATTTCATATGTGAAAGCTTTAGTCAGGATGTGATAGATGACAACTTTTTAGTTTTGTTATAATTTGATTTACAAATGTACACATATTTTAAACCTCCCATTAGTGTCTACAAGTGAATGAAAAAAACAATAAACATAGGCATCAGCTCCTCGCTTACTGGCTTCTTTATTTCTACGATTTATTTCTACCAACAATTGTCCGAACATAGTCAACAAACCCGCCTAAGCCAGTATTCACAAATCACAGCAATTAATGATAAGAACCTGTCATAAATAAACCTGAAAATATTGACTAAAGGCAACCAATAAGATCGAGGTATTGCTATTTTGATGACGGCTATAATCAAACATGAAGGGATCCAGACACCAAATCACAGGCATGGTTAACATTGTGCTGTTCTTCTGTTTCGGTTACAGTTACTGCTATGATTGTGCTATCACGGCTACTGTAATAACAGTCGACACACAAAACGATTTTCTCAGTCATAAAATGCTAAAATCACAGACGGCTTCAGTCTGGAACAGATCATCTAAAATGGGGACTGTCTTCAAAGATTGAGAGATCTGGTCACCATATTCTTATGGCCTTTAGCCTAGGCTATCAGAGTATGTGTTAATGAAGCACATATACCCCGACCTGGTAAAAATATAATATACCGACAGAATAGAAACAAGAAGGAAAACCTTACTTAACAATTGCTGTCAAGCGTCACTGCGTTTCTACAGTAACACATGGAAGTAATAAGTAGAGCATCAAACTCATTGTTAACTTGAAGTTAAGAATCATCAAGCTTAATTGTTTAAGATGCAGCAGCCACTCTCAGGTGGAGGAAGGCAGAGCCAAATAGACAAGAGGATGGGGGGGAGCACTGCTGAAGTCAGCTTATGACTGACTAATTACATCTAGAAATGTCATTGATTTTGTTTGTCTGATGAATTATCCATAAATATTTTACATCTAGACAACAAAAACTCACATCTCATCATGTTTTAGTCATCTAAGAACCATGTTTATTTCATTACCATCTCGTCATGAAAAAGATTTGCCAAGGAAAGGTTTTTGTCATACGTATCGTTGGCAAAAACAACACTGTCAAGTTGTAAATAAAAAGGTTTTAACAGAGAAATATATTTCTTTTTTTTCTTTTGAAAGAAAGAGGAAAATGGCAGGGAGTCTTCTTACAGCCAGCTGACTAACAGTGTGCAGCAAAACTTATATCTGCTTTTAAAATATAAAGCATTCCTGCTTCAGGTACCTGACCTGTGTCCATGTGGAAAATCAGTCACAGGAAACCTGTCCTTTAAGTAATAATTGTATAGAATACAGGAAGCAGGCAGCACGCTGAGGTATTGATCAGCTGCCAGTTTCAAACGTGTTGATTTCTACAGCTTAGATTCTATACTGGGCTTATGGTCAAGTCCATTTCTCTCTGTGCTCTGCTCTGGACAGCTGCCTCACTCCTCCAACTGAGAGGGAAAAAACTCCGGCCTCCCAATCTGAGGGAAATGTGGAACGATTTCTAGGATCAAACCGTGGTTATAAATTCCAGCAACTGTTTTCTTCCACAGGAATAATGTTCTACCACCAAGCTGCTAACCTGCTTTTGAATCTGATGGCGACTCAGTTGGTGTCACTAGTTCCTCTGCTCCAGCTGGGGGAGGGGGCTGCGGTTCATCCTGGTGATCTTCTTGACGCTCCTCTGGCTGACGTTGCTGATCTGTCTGCCAATCTTCACTGTGGGCCTCTGGGGGCGGTGCTGGAGCGACCACCGAGGTTGGTGAAGACAGACAGACTCCACTGTCCTCCATCGGTGTGTCTGGGGGCGGCGCTGCGGGCGGGGCAGGAGCAGGCGCTGGTGGCGTTTCAGGCTCTATAGATTTGCGCAGAACATTCACGCTTTCTTCCAACTGTAAACCAGAAACAAAAAGATTGAATAGAAGATTCCTTTTAGAACAAACAGGGTTTTCTAAAGGGGCACCATATTAGAAAATAAAACGGAAATTGGAGTTACTAAAAACAGCAATGATTATATCCAAATCAATTAGCTTTCTTGTAATTCATTTTCATTTCAAACATCACAATGTTTCCTAATTGAGCTCTAGCATGTGGATCCAGGCAATCCTTTCCTATTTGACATCACTAACATCAATATTGGAACGATGACTTTAACTTATTCTACCCTTACTCTCCAAGGACAATCTACTTTTGTTTAAATTTGGTTTGATGGAGGATGCTAAAGGACATAACAAACGAAAACACAAAGCAACATCAACACCTTTGAAGACAGAAGCATTTAGCCTTATATGAGCATTATGTTGCATAGTTAACATAGACAACAGAAAAACAGGTACAGAGGCTCAAACACAAACTGGAGCACAGATGAAGGTAAAAAAAAAAATGTCAGCGTGCATCAGATCTAATCTTACATTAAAAACAGTCTGCTCCTTTAAGAGGTGCATAGTTTTAAAAAGAAACAATACTAAAGGGGAAATGAAGCCCCCATTAAATGATGCAAAGACAAGATAAACTAAAGTATTTCTTTTGGGCAAGTAAAAGACCAAGTAAAGAATTCACTGTCATAGCTATTTGACATGTTTACCATCTTTTCTGGAGGAGAAACACACCTAAAACATGAAGAACACCTGTGCTTGACAGAATTTTAATTACTAAAGCGCCACATATTGGTGGTCTTCTACACTTCTATCATGTCTAAATCTATTTGGTTCAGAGGATTATTTTAAATAAGAACACAGACACGGTTTGCTCTTCCTTAATGCTGCAACACTCCGGAAAAACGAACACCGTTATATAATAATTTCCACTTTACCTACTGATATGAAACACTACAAGTCTTTACGGTAGTGCCACATACATCCAGACCACTCATCTCTGATCAACAATATTTAATACTTTGGATTAAATATTAACTAGTCTGTGCAAACTCCTAGGAAAACAAAGTTTATTTTAGAAGACAAACAAAGAAAAATAAAATGTAATAAAACCTGTTAAAGCAGATGTGTCAGATCCTCTGAATACCCCTCAAATTAAGGTTAGAGAGTTATGTGAGCTAAGATATTTGATAACTGCTTTGCTAAAGAAATGAATCATACCTGGGACCAGTACCGATTGACAATCAGAAGGGTGGTGTCATCAGTGGCTTGTCTTTTCTCCAGCTTTTCAATTTTCTCTCGTAGCTCATCTTCCAACGCTTGCCTCTGCTCCAAGCGTTCACAGAGCTTCTTGTTCTTAAACTGCATTACCTTCATGTCCATTTCCTCCTGCACGATATAATATAATAACAAAACAGTCAAGAAATGCATTAAAGCAGATGAAATGAGAAAGAGCATGTGACCAACCGTGGAGGAGACTCCAGCTATGCGGATAGGTTCAATGAGAGTCGTGGTGGTTTTCTCCTCTTTCTTGCTCTTTTTCTCAGGTGGCCCAGGAGGACTGTCCCCTCCCGGAGGGCGCTTCCCTCCCCCGGTACCCGACATCTTACCTGCACCAACAAAATAATCACACACAGCAATTCAAATTCAGAGTAATTGCAATTGTAATAAATCATACATAAACGACATTCATCTGAGAAGATTAACAGTTGTGAGAGGGATGCATCTTTTTAAACTGCTATTTGTCATATATATAAATATATATATAGATATATAAATATTCTTACTCCTTTTTGTTATTAAACCAATTTTAGTTTGACGTTTCCGTTGAAATGATCCCCTAGCTTGCTAATGCTAGCTCCCAGTTAGCCACACAGCTATCTTTGTGTGGCAAAATTACTTATTTATGCATGAGCGTTTCCATTGAGTGACCGTCAATGCCGAGATATTATATTCTGTTGACATATTCAGCATCAACAGACATAAAAACGACCGCCATCAATAAAAATATCAATGAAACACACCTTCGACAACAGTAACTGGAAGTATAATTCAGGGACGCAACCGGAAACGACGACAGCACGTCTTCTTCGCCTGTTTTTTATTTATTTTTTTTACGGTGATTTATGCTCACACCGAATTATACTGCCACCCAGTGTTCATCCTACTCTTCTATCTACGTATAAGCTAATTGCTATTCGTTTTATGTAGGGTAATTCGTTCGTGTTTAAAAATGTATTTTTTTTTATAGAAAACAAGTTAAACAGATTGCTTTGTGCTTTGTTTTTTTTTTTGTCTCAGAGCTTTGGACCGGAGGTACGTCCTGCAATATCCTATGTTGCCTCGTGGGGGCAGTGTTGCTACATCCAGTCGAAACCGGTCAAATACGAGTTTGCAGGAATTTGACCGGAATGTAAACATTGCTCTGGACTCGGTAAGGATTTTGGTTTGGTTTAAACCTACCGGATCACGCACAGTTATGGCCTCCAGTTGTGGAATTGGTCTGTTCTACTGACTAACCGCCGTATACTTGACCGTGTCCTGCTTAGCCGTCGGTGTGTAGCTTCCTGTTCGGTGAGTGAACCTGCTGCGACAGCCTGCCCAGTCCAAAAGGCGCACTCAGTCAACCCACAGATGATAAATATTACAGAATTTAATTCATTTAGGAGCTTGAACTTTATTTTTGTTGTAAATACTAAAAGGGTAAAGTCTCATCGATTGTTTTCTTTTACGATAGAGTTAAATTATCAGGAGTTAGGTCAGTTTCTTTGGTAAACACAGACATGTGACTGAGTTTTCTGCTGTAGATTGACCATCATGACCAAGGACATCCTTGTTGGAGATGAGTTACCTGACTGGGTGGGAGCTAAAGAGTTTTACCAGAAGTACGACCCCAAAGAAGTGATCGGAAGGTAGGTCGAGCTTGAGAGACGAGCTCTGTGTCCCGCCTGGTGGTTCTGGGAACATCATGTACTTTCTGTGTTGGTGCTGCAGGGGTGTGAGCAGCGTGGTGAGAAGATGTGTGCACAGACACACTGGTCAGGAGCTGGCAGTGAAGATTATTGAGATCACAGCGGAGAAGATGACAGTTCAGCAGCTGGAGGAGGTGAAGACCTCCACGCTGAAAGAGATCCAAGTTCTCAACATGGTGAAGGGGCATTCCTCCATCAGTAGGTTTAAGCTCTGCTCTTCTGACACCCCGGAGATCCTGTGCCCACCACCCTTATACAAATGCCATCAAAATACCTAACATTGCTGTGTTTTTGTTTGTTTGTTTGTATTTTGGTTTCCTTTAGTTACCCTCATTGATTCCTATGAGTCCACTACCTTCATATTTTTAGTGTTTGACCTGTGAGTATCAACAGTAAGAGCTTAAACACAAAACTCTTTATTTACCAATATGTTGTAGATTGATCTTTTTTTCTTTTCCATCCTCAGCATGAGGAGAGGGGAGCTGTTTGATTACCTAACAGAGAAAGTTACTCTGAGTGAGAAGGAGACAAGGTGAGCGCCACCATAAATATTTCTACAAAATGTTCTAACCTGCCAGTGGAGATTCTAGACAAATTTTACTAGGGGGGCCAGGATGGGGCCTGCATGTTTTTATGGGGACACAAAGGAGCATGAGACAAAAAAACAGGGCGAGTTTCATAATATAATTTCTTTTAGTAATGAGAGCAGCAGAATCCAAATTTTATGTTGTATTCAATTGAAAATGTGTATTTTTGGATTGAACATGTTAATGTTATTTATCTAAAAAAAAAAAAAAAAATAACAACTAAAAGAATTAGTTGCTAAATAGATATATCTACTGAAAGATTAAAAAAATATATATTTGGAAAATTGTATCAATGTACGTCATAATTTATAATATAGCATTTTGAGTCATTTAAATGAGAATGAACAGTTTAAATTAGGGATTAAATAAAACTGATCGATTCTGCTGTAACAAATTACAGTGGTTCAAAATATCATTAAGCAGATGAAAATTGTGAGCCTATATAAATATAACTGAAGCAATCACCTTTATTTTGAAATTTGAAAGCTTTCCATACCATATTAAAACAAAACTGTAAAAAAAAAAATAATAATAAATAGGTCTAAAGGGACCATGTCTGTTCCAGCAAATATTATCATTACATTTGTTTTTATTTTATTTTTTCTAGCAATATTTCTTCATTACAGGGGCACTGGCCCCTTTTGGCCCCTGTCTAGAACCACCCATGCAACCAGTCATAAAACTGGTTAAAGTTTGGATATGATGGTTCTGCAAAAAAAAAAAAAAAGAATTCACTTTTATCCAAAGAAAAAAACAACAACTTTAAAATGCTCTTTTTTGCCAGAGGAAAAAGGTCTCACAACTTCAAATAAATTTAAAACATCTCAAAATAAATGTAAACACAAATGGATACATGGGGATAAATTAATTTATTAACTCCTTCATAGTACACTCATGTAAAAAAAAAAAAAAAAAAAGGATGTGTATATATCTATCTTTATATATATATATATATATATATATATATATAATTAGTAAATAATTTTTTTTATTACTAAAAACAATAATTGTGACAGCAATTACAAACAAATTTTTGTGTCATGTGACTAAAACTGACTTAAAACTGTTTTTTGCAACACAAGTATACAAGTCCATAGCTACTGATGTCAGTATTTCAGTGATTTTTTTAAAATAATTATCAACAAAAGAAATATTAAAAGATGACCAAAAATCAACTCTTCAAATAAACTCCAATTATCTTTTTGTAATTTTAACTACATTTGTCCAAAACAATTGTTCGTTCAGTTGTACTTGACAATAAAGTTAACAAAGGTAACGACAAATATGTTTATCCTTTAATTTTTTTCTTTAAATTTATTGCATATAATATAATACTAAGTTTCTACGCTTTTTATAGAAAAAGCAGAAGCTGTGGTGTAATAACCTCTCTGTTTCACATTTTCTTCTTTAAACTATCTCTTGCTACATATTTACATATAAGCTGCTTAGTTCACTTTGTGCCTTGACGCCACTAGTTGACCTCTTAGAGCTCAGTTAGTAAAGAAGCATACTGCTCTAATAATAAATACAGAATGTCATTCAGTGTGATCTTGCTGAATACAGGAAGGTCATTACTGAGCACAGTTGGCTGTGCTGTTGGCATACAGAGGTCTATTTAGATGATCTAAACCTTTATATAGCCTGTATCAGTATGAAAGTATACAGCCAACTCTAAATACCACCAATGTTGAAATACCAGAACCCAAAGCTTTATACATAAAACAGATATATATTTAAAAAAATGTTTTTATGCTGTAGACAATGCATGTTTTCACAATAGAGAAGAAGTGCATGAATTGGTCATTTTGAGCACCTTTAAAAACTCTGGCTAGTTTATCTCAGACTTAAAGATCTGTCTCCAAAGACCTAAAAGTTAGACCTCATTCAGGTGAAAATGTTGCTATCTGTGTCTCAACAGGAGCATAATGCGAGCGCTGCTGGAAGCTGTTCTCTACCTGCACTCCCTCAACATTGTTCACCGGGATCTGAAACCTGAGAACATCCTCCTTGACGATCAAGGCCACATTAAACTCTCTGACTTTGGGTTCTCTGTGCAGCTGCAGCCCGGAGAGAAGCTCAGAGGTACGACTGGAGATCCTATCAACAGTTTAAAAGCAATACAGACATGTTCTCAAACGGACTGTTTTGTGTTCGGATGTTGATCAGAGCTCTGCGGAACACCAGGCTATTTGGCCCCGGAAATACTGAAATGTTCCATGGATGAGATGCACCCAGGCTATGGAAAGGAGGTGGACCTGTAAGTCTCCTTTCCTCTGAGATGCAAAGTTTACCTCAGCATATAAATTGAAGTATATAAACCTGTTTATCTTCCTAATCTCTGCTCATGTTACTGATTTTCTTAATAAGCTGGGCTTGCGGGGTCATCCTTTTCACGCTACTGGCTGGCTCTCCTCCCTTCTGGCACCGCAAACAGATGCTAATGCTGAGGATGATCATGGAGGGCCGCTATCAGTTCAGCTCCCCAGAATGGGACGACAGATCTGACACTGTGAAAGACCTGGTGAGCTCATATTCCTGTCAGATAAATGCATTCCTTCAATAAAAACTCAGTGGGATTATTAAATGTAGTTGTATTTTTCCTCATATCTGTATTAATGTGTTCTTGAATATTTGTTCTCAGATATCCAGGCTGCTGGTGGTAGATCCTGCCTCCAGGCTTACTGCAGAACAAGCCTTAGCGCATCCCTTCTTCAGGCTGTATCAGAAGGAGGACGTCCGTCTCTTTAGCCCAAGAAAGACATTCAGGGTGAGTTTTTTTTTTTTTTTAGCCAAACAAAAATGTTCAGATAGGTAGAAACTACATCTTATGCATGAATGCAGAGTGAAAGCTGCAGCTCCGATGGTTCAGCTTATTACTAAAGGATCTGAACTGAAGTAGAAAACATCTGAAATTGGTGGAAGGAGACCACTTATTTATCCTAATGTGTTAAAAGTGGATTAAGAGGTGAAGAATCAGGAAAAACATTAGAAAGGGGACAGAAAGTATCATCATTTTGCAGGTTCTGGATTTAAATTGGCTCCTGACCTCACGTTCGGCTTGCCGCACAAATTGTCGATACAGATATGGTTTCTATTTTATTTTAGAGAGTTACTGAAAAATTGAAATCGTCATCAAATGGAAAACATTACAACTCAAAGTGTTGTTCTTTAAATAAAGGAGTAAATATGAACAGCTATGTTTCAATAAATGTAGACTTAATGTAGAAAAATAACAGAATCACAAAATGTTTTTGGGTTTTTAAAAGGATCAGTAGTAGAACCTTCGAGCGGAATATTTTCAGTCCACGCTGTGAAATGATTGGACACCAGCGATTGAGAGTTAAACCCATCGATGAAGTTTTTCTAGACTGCAGCATTTCTGTGAAACATCCAGTTTAAAACCCATACACACCAAAAGCTTAGCTTAAAAGAGTAATTTACTAATCTGAGGTCTGTATGAGCCAAATCAGGTCAAAAGCATTAGTTTTTTTTATAGACTAAGCTGGTACCCTACGTTGCCATGACAACCGGTGCTGTCCCTGCTGGGCCTGAGTAAGCATTTTTAGAACGTCCCTCTGCTCACATCTCCAACCGTTCCTTTAAAATCAAACCTCTAACTTCTTTTCCTAAGAGTTTTTGATCATTTTTATTTGAGCAGCAGACATTTATTACAGAGTTCAGTGAAAAGCTGGCTAGATATTTTCTATTACGCCCGAAAGGAGTAGAGGATAAACATAAGGTTTATATAACAGAGTTAGATTTTCAATTTCATTTCTTTCACAGAAATTAAACAATTCATATTTGTGGACATATTTAGGATGCATTCAATGTTTAAAATAATTTTCCAGGATTTGATCTATAATGGACTGCAGATGTTAAACACAGGTTTACATAAATATGCCCATTTATGAATGTATGGTTGTGTCTGAGTGGGTCAGGTGAATGTCCTAATGATCCAGAAAAGAAACAATAATTACAGTAGTACAGCCGCAAAGATGAGACCGGTTTCATATGTGCCATCCGGTTCCATTACCAGTTTAGTTATTATTGCCTGATTTAATTTTAAATCAGTTCATTGTTCCTTTATGTGCATATTTACAGTATGACCGTTAGTATTTTCTAATATCAATTCAATTAGTTGGAAAAAATATATTTATATGTATGTGTGTCCAGCAATGTGTGTGTTTATTTATACCCATGGCATATAAATGAACTTTAATGTGGATGAAGTGATGATTCTGATGCATTTTTCCAGCATTCAACGACTTAGTGTTGTATTCTGTTAGTTTGGTATATGAATGTATTTCAATCTGAGAGAGCTGCAGATGATATGGGGTTATAAATAGGGTTGCAACTAACAATTATTTTTGCAAAGCTATTTATCTGTCGATTATTTTTTCAGTTAATTGATTAATAGTCAGGTATCGAAAGAAGATTTTTTTTACATAATGAGGCCAGGTCAAACTAAAACTTTTCCACTTGTGGAGTTTTGCATAGATCATACTGACAGATTGAAAAGTTTTTTTTTTTATCTTAACTACAAAATATTGATATATATTTTTACAGTTTTCTTATAATTAAGTGAGTCGCTCTGTCATCTAAAGGCATGTTTTACAGTCTCTATACTCCAGTTAACGATTAATCCATTATTTCAATAATCAATTAATCTGATTAATTGTTTCAACCCTATTTATACTTAAATATCCGTCTATAAATATCTGAAAGTGTCGTATGTGTTTAGCTATGATGTGCTGACAAGCAGAACTTTTTGATATTTGAGTAATAAAATGGCACAAATACGGCAGAAGCTGTTCCAGGTCCAATAACCTCTGGAGGGAAGATGAGCAGAGACAGACGGGTAAATTTGCTGCCCCATATATGCAGCTAATGTTGTATCAGCACCAGCTGATACATGCATGGGTTCGCCAATTTATTAGTGCACTCAGAGGCCACGCCTTGAGATCATGTGAAACGCAAGGATTGTCACTCTCTCCGCTTCCCAATAATTATTAATGTTTAATTTGGTATGTTTTTTTTACTTATTGTTAAAATTGTGTTACATTTGTTTCCCTTGTCATTTTAATCATTGAAATTAAGGAAAAATGAAACATCAGATTCAAAAATAATGTCACTTTTCTAAAGATAAAAGAGCCAAGTGATGGTTTTCAATATAATATATTAAAAAATACCATAAAAATGACATAAGTTTTAGAAATATGTTTTTAGATTGACTTTTTTTGTCATTTGCTTGGAAAGGTGTGTTTTATTTTTTTTAGAAATAGAATATCCTATAGAGCAAAATCCAAAATTAGTCCGTCTGATTTCAGAAACTTTCATGCTTTGTCCTTATTTAAAAAAAACAAAAAATTCAAATAAACTGTTATAGATATGTCTATTGTGGATATTTAACTAATATCAGGTTTGTTTTGTTTAAATTACACGTAGGATTTGAGGCTTTTTAGGTTTTTTATTTAACTGAGCTCGATGTATTTGAAAGGTTGCAGAGCCCTGAGTTAGACTGATGTCAGTCGGTACTGCCGTCTTCCTTCTGTACATCTCTAATCTTCAGAATACGGCATTGTTTTCACACAGTAATCTGTAGCTTCCTTGTCTTGATTTGTACAGGTGTTGATAGTGAGCGTGCTGGCCTGTATCAGGATGTACAGCCGGTACCGCAGGGCCCGGCCTCTCACCCGGGAGGTACTGGCCAGAGACCCGTACTCCCTGCGCGGCGTTCGCAAACTCATAGATGGCTGCGCCTTCCGTATCTACGGCCACTGGGTGAAGAAGGGAGAGCAGCAGAACCGGGCAGCTCTGTTCCAGAACACAGCTAAGATCGTGCTGCTGGGCCTGGAGGACTTTGAGACGTAAAAATGATTCCACCTAATTCCCGAGCCTGTTTATTTTTATTTTATTTTATTTTATTTAACCATGTGCATGTGCTGTCACATCGTGTCAGTATTCGTCCAGCTGTGTTACTGTTTAATTCTATGTGCAATTCAGGGATCAGGAGATATCGTGTGTCTCAAAGCACACTGAGGCACGTTGCAGATTCAAGATGTGCTGATATTCCTTATCTGTGTTGATTGGAAACTTTTTTTTTTTTTTGTGAGGTCAACATGTTTGCAACGCACTTTGTAGTGGAGGACATATTGCACAATAATCTGATAAATCTTCTGAGTGAAGAGGGATATTTAGACTTTTAACTGCTAATCATTTATTGTAATGATGCATTTCCAAGCCCTGCACGAGTAAATTGGAAATAAGCATTGAGATTAGTTATTTTTATAGACACATATTGTTTTAATGCTCAAATGAAAGTCTCTTCCAGAGTATAACGGTACTGTAGGATGTGTGTGAGAACATTCGATGTAATGGGAGTGCGTAGCTGTCGTTGTAATGCATGCATTCCTCAAGAAAATAACCACTTCCACTGACTGTAAAAACTAGGAGCAGCATTTCCGACTCACTTCCTTCTTTGCTCTGATAATTAACATTTCCATATCAAGTGCCTGCTTGAGAAATGTACGGCAGTTTAAGTGCAGAATGAATCACACTGTAAGTGCATACAGATGTTTTACTGACAATAAAACAGATGTTTAAATTGTCTTATTTAACATTATAGCCGGTCATATTTTTGTCTTTTTTTTTTTCTTTTTTTTTGTGGATGGATTTGGGACGATTAATTCTGCTGTTGAGCTTGTCCTGTTGTCTGAACCTTTGCTGCATCTGCTGCCTGATCTCTCCAAAGCTGCTGGTCCGTGGACCTGGTAGGAAGGAAAAACACAACCCCATGTTCACGCACACATTTATAATCGCCTCTACTAAAGTTTAGCTGAAGGCTTTTAGATAACTTAATCTTTTATTGGATCAGCTTTAAGATCTATTTAACTGGAGGATGTTTTGATTTATACTTGATTAAGATGGACCAGAGTTTGTAGAAACATAAGTGGTGAACAGAAGTCATGCTTCCATGCAGAATAGATCAGAATCAGAAATACTTTAATAATCCCAGAGGGAAATTACTTTTGTTACACGCTCCAGTTACAGTTTTATGTAATATATACACACATCCAACTATACTATATAATAAAGATAAAAAAAAAAAAATAAGAATAAAAAGAGATAAAATATATACACATATAGCTCTTCTGTATATATATCTGTACGTATATCTATGCATATGTAAAAACTAAATCCAAATAAAGTGAAAATCCAAGTAAAGTGATAAATCCAAGTAAAGTGATATGTGGCGTGCAAAAATAGTGCATAACCATGATACCATGCGACCAAAGCTAAAAGCTTACTCTAAAGGAACTTTAACAGAGAGACCCTTAAGACTCCATACACACCCTGACAGCTTGTTTAGGCAACACAAGGAAAACAAACTTTTCTTTGCTATGATCACAAAAGTAAATGTAGAGTTTGCTTAACACTGCTAGGAATTTATTTTAAACTATACAATATTTCTGATTTTTTTTCTAGAAGGTTGGTTTAAATGGGGGTGAATATGCACTATGCTCACTGTTAGGTGATGCTGTAGGTTTGTTTCTCTTCACATCCAGAACTATAATGTAAGGGCTTTCAGTTTTTTTTTTCTCTGGGATGCCCAGATTGATGAAGGGACAGAGGAAGGACCCCATGTCAAACAAAAGCAATATTATAGATATTATGCTTTATTAGATAAAACATAGTAAATGTATTATATAAGCCTTTCAAGGGGAGAGAGGAGGGAGAGTTGGGACAAAGATTTTTATGACACCCCCAAACCCCATTGCAGTACCTCCAGAATCCACTAGGAGGATTGCAGCACTCTATAGATATGAAAAACTCTGCCAATACACTGAAAACTGGTCATTATTGGGTTGTTAAGTGAGACAGTGATCCATAAAATGGAGATAGTTTCTCTTCTATGACCATTTATTCTGTGGACTGAGCTCAAAAGCAGAGAGAACCCGGGACCCTGGATGATCTAGAGCAGGGCTCTGCAACCTGTGGCTCTTTAGACCCTTCAACAATGGCTCTCAATCACTCTGGTTAAAAATAATTAAGAGACAGATAATTTTTTTAAATAGATAACAGATGCATGTTTTTATCATTTTAGCTAAACATAACACAAATATATTTAGGGTGGGAAAATTTTTGTTTTTAAAATAATTGTCCACAAATTTCAGCAAACCATTGAAAATGTATTCTCTTTTCACCTTTTTCTGTCCATCTTAAAACCCAACATTTGAAAAAGCATGGTGGATATCTAAATCTCCTGTGGAGATTTATTATTTATTAAATATAAATTATACTTTTTCTTCTTTTCTTAAGTTAAATATGCCTCTTTGAATTGTAAAGTTATAGACCTTAATCTAGAGCATTTCTTCTTAGACTTTTGGTAAAAAATCTCTCTCCCTACATGTTCCAGCATTCTGCAACAATAACAGCCATCCAGTAGAAACAGAGGTTTGCAAAGCAATTACAGTAAAGCGTCAATGGCTAAAAGTTGAATTCATTATAAGGCTTTGTTTCATATAGCCTTAAAGGCATAATAATAAACTGCAAAAATATTCTCTAGAGTTCCTTTCAGTCAAACGTTTGTTGATTTTCTTCTTCCTCATCACATCGCCTGTAATATTCTGTTACGCTGATGAAGATTCTCAGTCATCCAGGTCATAGTCATTCCGTAAAAGCTCAAAAAATATCCACTGGACTTGGTTTCCAAGATTTGAAGATGTTTCGCCACCTCTCCAGGAAGCTTTCTCACTTCAAATGTCTGGATCCGCAATATTATGTTACATAATAATTGCCTTAAAGGAACGTTCCACCTATCTATGTTGCTCTTGGATTATTATTTTTTAGAAACTTTATGTTTGTTGGTGCAGAGCAAACCTTTGCCATCATTTTACCTCCAGCTTGAGTCCAGGTGAAGGAGAGAAACGGTTATCTGGCACAGAGGAATCCTTTATAGAAGATGATTCCATGTCTGTAGTCCCAGAATAAATCAGAGAAAGATCAAGTGTGACCTGTCAAAAACAAAGGGCGTGTAAAAAAACAAAACAATGAATGATGAATATTGACTCATACTTATTTCCTACATATTGTCACATAAGAACCCCAAGAAAAGTATTTTTTAAAAGGAAAATGCAAAATTGCACCGTGGAGGTTTTTTTCAATTGCTTCCTCTCAAATGAAACCTCTTTTAAAAAGTGTAAAAACTACACTATTTGGATAAAAGACTGCTGCCATTTCCACTACTGTTATATAGTTTCGTATATCAGGTGCTGTTTGGGTCAGAAAGTAACAAACATCCAGAGTCCACAATCTTTAGCTGGAGTTTTCAATTAGATCCATTAGGGCAACCATCCCTGTTAAGTTTCGCTGCACTCAAAAAAACTACTTGTTTTTTGCTATAATTTCTTTTTTATCATGTTCCTCCCTGCTAGGAATCTGGCTTGGGTTTGTTTATCTGGTTGCCAAGCGGATAGGATCATAAGGGAACATCAAGCCTTCCAACGTTTTGAGCCACAAATAAATGTTTAATTATAATGATGAAAGTTTGTCAAAGAGTCATTTTTCTATCTTCTTTCTGGTCTTTAAAAATCTGCAATGTTTCAGACAAATATTTATATTAATTCAATTGTATTCTGAATATTCACAACAACGAAGTTTTGACTAAATGTTACTAAGAGTGGACAACAATTCAATATCAATATAAATTGCAATGTACTTTTATCCAATAATTTTCCTTTTGCCATTCAATGGTATTATAGTTTTATGTGTTTTGTTCTTTTAAGCAAACATTTGCTAAATTTTAAAGTAAAGGAGATTTATAAAGGTCATAACTTTCTTCAGGATTCTGTTGTGGGCATTCTTAGCAGCCTTTTTGAGACTTTTATTTTGTTTATATTAAAATAAATTGTATCTAAAATATATCCTCATATAAATTTTTCCCTAAATATTCCCAATAAAATTTCTAAATGTTTAAATTAGATTTTTCAGTTTATTGGGCTATTATAACGCAATCTATTTATGATTTGGTTCCACTTTTTACTACTAAAACAGCTCTGAGCCACTGAGACATGGAGACCAACGGGCTGGTTCCCATCCCTGGAAAAAACCCAACTGCATTTCAACCCTGTATTGTTCAACTGTTCCAGAGGACAACTCCAAGGCTTTACATGCAATAAAGCTAAGATAGCTGATTCTAAGTGTTAAAGTAGATTCATGTGGATAAAAACAGGACTGACCTACTGTTTTTCAGCAGAGTATAGCCAAAATTATTTGATTCGAAAATACTTTTTTAATCCCACAGATAAATAAATTAGCACGCTTCGTCTGCCATTTTCTTCCTGCGGTGCTTCCTGGCACATTTTGCTCTTCAGGCCTCAAAGGAAACCTGGTTCATTAGAGCAGCTCTCGTTCTTCCATTGCTCCACTGTTCATTTCTGATGGGCATGTGTGCATTGTCCTAAAGAGAACTCAGCATGGAAATCTTGTTTGCACAGAAAACTGAGATGCAGTGTTTTCTGCAACAATTTTAATCTTATCTGACTTGCGCAGCAGTAATTAATCTGTTGAATCAGTTCACATCATTTCTACTTCTTTAGTAATACTGTAGACTTGAGTCCAGGAACAACTGCAGTTCTGAGGCTCTGACCCAATCCTCATCAGATCGCCATGCTTGTCCATTTTTTCTCCTTTTAAAGCATTAACTTTGAGGACAAATCCTCAATAACTGCATAATGTTTTCTGTCCACTACAGGGTGCAACAATGAGTAAATAAGTCAGATCACATGTCCATGTTAATGATGTTACTTCTCTTTTTAAAGTGGGCTGCAATGTCAGTCAAATTCATACGGTTATTAATGTACCAGTAAAACACTTTATCATATTTTCACTCTATATTTTAAACAATATTATTCATTGTTGTAAGGTTGCCTTTTATAATTTAAGTGGGAATACAGATTTTCAACATAATGCAATAAAACAAAAAATTGAAAACTGAAAACTAGACAAAAAAAACTTCAGTAACGAATGAGAATCTAATTGCGTCAATATTGCTTTATCCTTTTTATCTTGGTCATTTTCTATTTCTATACGATGATCAGCTAAGCTGTGAATTTATTAGAAGGGTTTCGAAGATTTCACTCCAGATTGAGGGGAAATCAACAAGCATTTACTGATAGAGGGCTTCAGGCGTAGGAGGGTAAACCAAAAGAGGTTTTTTTCATTTAAGTCCTGGAGTCGAGGGTCATGTGTGCCGACATGTCTTGTGTACCGTTCAATAATTAATACCTTTGGTGTGAATATGTACTTGTAGAGTTTGTAGTCTTTCATGTAGTGGTCCTGGATGTATTTTAAAACACAATTCGCCTCCTCGAAGCTGAACAGGTTGATGCAGAAAGGTGGTCTCTTAGATGGTGGAGACGAGAACAGCAGAAGAGAAGCTTATGATGAGATGTAAAAGTTAAGCTGAGACTAATATAGAAGTATTTGTGATACAAACCCTGATTGAGTGACACAGCAGAAGATCATGGCAGTATTTGAGACACTCCCTAGAGTTATTGAACGGAGTTTCTGCAAGTTAAAGGACATTTGATAAAAACAGCTATTTCTTTCACATTAAACCCAACTTAGACATTAATCTCATTGTATATTTAATCATTAATATACAGTAGAGTTTAGGCAATAATGCATTGATTTATAATAGTAATAGTGATACAAGTAGCTGAACTTTGCTCACCAGTGTTGGCTTCATGGATGGACTTGATGATGGACAAAAGTGTAGATGTTTGCTCCTTATTTAAGTTATGTTCTCTGCAAAAATAAACCGTTTGCACATATAGTTCCAGCAGGACCTCTTTTTTTGGTTCGGGGAGGCCAGCACACAACAGGCTGCACAGGATTCTGTCACAGATGAGAGGTGATATGAATTTAAAAAATGTAAAATCATACATCATATATCAGATATCATGTTCAGCTGTAAGCAGCAGACACACCTTTCCAGATCAGGAACGGATTGCATTTGGTCAATCAGCTCCATGTCATGGTAACTTATGTCTGCCCTAGGAAGAGAAAAAAACATTTAGACCTACATTAAGTGAGGACCTGAGTTAATAAACAAGCACAAAACACAGATGATCTCACCATAGCAACAACCTGGCTTCCAGGTGGTATGGTACCTATGGAGAAAAAAAAAAGTCTGCTTTTGACATGAGGCTAGACAAAAATATAACTACATGTTGGTCTTTTTTTCTTTTCATGTGCAGCCCTGCCTCAACCAATAACCTAAAGGTTTTTTCTATAATTTTTGGTGGAAAAATCAAAGTTATGTTCCAGTGAAGCAAATATTGACTACAGACATACATTTTAAACAGAATACAAGTACAGTTAAAGTGATAAAACAGCAACCAGCTGACCTCGTTTGAACATTACCTTAATAAAGGACTCCATTTTATTTTTTGAAAACCAGCAGAAATAGAAACTGAGCGAACTGAAGGAGTTTGGAGCTAAAAATAAATGTTAAGTCTAACGGTTTCTATCTAAAAACGAAACTTGAAACTGACGTTTAAGATGTCACGAAGGAATAACGGACATTGGTGCATTTGAAATATCGCGACAAAATAATTCTTGAACAGACAAAAGAGCCGCCGCGCATTAGTTTGTTTGGTTCTGTGGTAACCTAGCAACATCACTACGCTTCCGGTTTCCAGTTTTACTTTATTAAAATAGTTCCCCCAAATTAGCATGGTTTCGGACAATTGTGAACAAATAAAACTGTATTTTATATTACAAAAAACATAAATCAATAAAAAACAAAAAATCACTCAACGTCAGCAGGATTACGTCAGGATTACGATTATTAGACTTAGACTGATTTTATTTGTCATTTTGTTTACACAAGTGTAAAACAAAAAGACATTTCGTTTGGAACAGCTCTCTAGACAATTTCATCTTTTTGCGGCCTTGAAAAATAGTAAAAAAAAAAAATATATATATATATATATATATATATATATATATATATATATATATATATATAT